GACTTTTGTCGGCAAGGTAATGTCTCTGCTTTTTAAGATGCTGCCTAGGTTTGTCCTCACTTTCCTCTCAAGAAGCAGGCGTCTTAATTTCATGGCTGCTGTCACCATCTGCAGTGATCATGGAGCCCAAGAAAGTAAAATCTGTCACTGCCTCCATATCTTCCCCTTCTATTTGCCAGGAGGTGATGGGACCAGTGGCCATGATCTTAGGGGTTTTTTTATGTTGACCTTCAGACCGTTTTTGGCACTCTCCTCTTTCACCCTCATTTAAGAGGTTCTTTGATTCCTCCTCACTTTCTGCCGTCAGAGTGGTAACATCTGCATATCTGAGGTTGTTGATATTTCTTCCAGCAATCTTAATTCCAGTTTCAGATTCCTCCAGTCCAGCTTTTCACATGGTGTATTGTGCATATAAGTTAAATAAGCAGGGAGACAATATACAGCCTTCAATCAGTTGTTCCATATCCAGTTCTAACTATTTCTTCATGTCCCATGTATAGGTTTCTCAGGAGATAGATAAGGTGGTCAGGCACTCCCATTTCTTTAAGAACTTGCCCTAGTTTGCTGTGGTCCACACAGTCAAAGGCTTTTGCGTAGTCCAACAGCTGTATTACGGTGCACTAAATATAAGTCTCCTTAGAAAGTATTAACATATTGTCCATTCCTTTAATAGGAGTCTGTCCCCAGCTCCTCTAATATTTTTGTGCCAATAGTAATGCCTCCATAAATTGATCTGGGTGAAACTTATCATTTGGGGCAACCAGAGATGGGCAGTGTTTGTTTTTTCAATTACAGCTCTCAAAATCTCATAACCAACATGATCGTCTACATCTCCTTCTTTCATTCTTATAATAACTGAGGATTTGTCTATATGTGGCAATTGCAGCAGTTTGGAGCAGGCTAAATAGGGTCACTAGAAGGTCCACAATGCCGTTCTATATGCTATTTGGATGTGCAGTCCTCACATCCAAATAGCATATGGAACTCAAAGAACCTTATTTGGTTCACAACAGCCTGCTGTCAATTTGTCAGTGGCTGAAGAAGAGAGCCAACTTCAGGTTATTGGCAAAATAAACCCTTTCTTGGCTCTGTACTGGGGCCAAGGAAGTTAAAAAAATTCAAGTGTATATTAGAGCAGCAAATATGGGATGCATCATTTTTAGGTGTATTACAATTTAATTAGATATGTATATTAGCTATACCTATCTAGTATGCATTCCTAATAGCTATACCTATCTAGTATGCATTTCGAGTAGACATGGTCTAGAGGGGCGGGGTAAAAAATAAATAAATAAATAAATAAATAAAATAATTTGTAATAAATGTATCTAATGCTGTTTCTAAAGTGAGGCAGCATCACTTCACAGAGCTGAGGAAGTGTTTCATTTACCAGTATCATAAAGTGGCTCTCTTGATGTTGACAAATTGAAAGAAAAGGCTCAGCGTGCTGAAAATTGGCCAAAACAGAGCATCTCTACCTCCTCCAAAAAAGCAGAAGCCCTTGACAAGGGCTGGAAAGGTGCGAATTAGAGATGGGGGTATTCGTATATTAATATCCCCCCACAGATGCAGATAATGTGGGTCCAGCCCCCTGGGGCCAGACCAACCACTCACAATTCTGCCACTGCCATGGACTCCAGACTCCCTTCCTATTTATTGCTCTGGAGCTCACGATGGATTAGCCACTCCTTGGCCTGCCGGAGAGGCTCATCATCCTGCCTTCTGCAAGAAGTGACTAATCCATCGTGAGCTCCAGAGTGATAGGAAGGGAGTCTGGATCCCACGGCAGCAGCGGAGTTGTGAGTGGTTGGTCTGGCCCCAGGGGGCTGGACCCTCGTTATCTGCACCTTTGGGGGGATATTTTTATTTGTATACAAATACTGTACCCCCATCTCTAGCTCTAATAGGACTACTCTGCTTCACTCCAGCAATGATGTCGTCTGATTGCCATTTAAGGAGCAAACCGGCCTGGCTCTGCAGTAGACCAAGATGTAGTGATGAATATCAAGCTTCTCTTATTCTTCAGGGAAATGCTTGTGCATTCCCATGCTTTTGTGACTCTTTGCTCTTCTTTTCCTATTGACCATCAAAAAAGTACATCAGTTAAGAATGTGTGTATGGTGGCCAGCTTTGTATCTGCATTTCTAACCTTGGAAAGCAAGAAGAGGCTGCCAAACAAGACAAGGATTGCTTTGTGCTCATCCACTTAAGCACATAAGATGGCATGACATGACTGGATGAGACAGGGCTGAAAAGGTAAGAGCAAGAAGAAGCACATTTGTTCAGAGAGGAGAGTGGGGATGTGCACATGCTTGATTAACAACACATTTCTTTCTCAGAAAGTCAAGGAAACCAGGCCACCTCTTCAGTTTGTGTCCATCTTAACAGGTTTGATCCGGTCCCGCATTCGAGGAGCAGATGTGGCCCAAGCAGGAGTTCTTACCTTTTTAGACAGTCACTGTGAAGTGAACAAAGATTGGCTGCTTCCTCTCCTGCAGAGGATCAAAGAGGTAAGTGACCGACTGGGCAGCTCTTGTATCTCAGGTCATAGCCTGAGTTGGCTGTTCTCCCTTTGGAGCCTTTAAACGGGTAGCTCTTGGCAAAAAGCCACAGAGCAGCAGTCCCGAGAAGCTGAGCATTACAGTAGAATTAACTGCACTTCTAGACACCTGGAAAGCTGTCTTATAGTAGATCACACTGTTTGTCCATGTAGCCTAGTATGGTCTATATGCACTGGCAGCATTTCTTCAGACTACCGGGCAGAAGAAGGACTTCCTCATCACCATTTAATTTGGAGATAGAAATCTAGGGACTGGTGTACATGCAGTCAGACAGTTGGCTCATCTAGCTCAGAATTGTCAACATTGACTGACAACAGCTCCCTACAGTTTCAGGCAGTTCTTTATCACGATGCTGGAATTTGAACTTAGAACTATCTCCGTGTCAAAACATGATCTATCCCTTAGGCATGAGGCCTTCCCTGAAAATGTCCAGTGACTGTGAGATGCCAACATGCTCAAAAAAGAGTCATCAGTGTGAATTCCTTGACAAGCTTCTGCATTTGCTCTTCAACTAACTTTTGAGGGGAGAAGGTGTGGGCTTTGTCCCTTAGCAAACCAGTGGGGCTGACTGGGGGGCCTAGGCAACCTTACAATAGCCAGGTTGTCAAAAGGTCTTGGGTAAGACATATACAAAGTCTTTCAGAGTCTATAGCAGGGGTCTCCAAACTTTTGAGCGTGAGGGCCACATCGTATATTTTCCACATTTTTGAGGGGTGAAGGAATGTGTGTGTGCATGCATATGTACAGCTATATGTGCATGCACACGCCCCCTGCACAGACGCCCACATGCCCACACACACATACACACTCACATGGACGCCCACCCGTTTGTATGCATGCACGCACATCCCCACCCACCCACGCGCACACAGGTTGAAGGGAATGGGCCAGGTAAAATGGCAAGGTGGGCCAGATGTGGCCTGCAGGCCTTAGTTTGGAGGCCCCTGGTTTATAGTGTAGAACAGCAATGGCAAACCTATGGCACGCATGCCACAGCTGCTACACAGAGCCCTCTCTGTGGGCACGCAAGCCGTTAGTCACTAGATCGCTACCCCTGGCAGCCAAACCTGAGGAGGTGGCTGTAGCTGCAGTGCTAGCACCCCAACAGATGGCAAGCCAGGATCCAGAGCACCTGGCACTGACAGCGGCTGGCCATCCGAGCTATAGGCAGTGACGGACTTGGGCACGTCTAGAGTTGGATCCAGAGTGGGGTCTGGAGGCACCTCCGTGCCCCAGATTCTCCCTTCCACTGCCACTTCTGCTTCCACTGCCACCACTTCCACCGCCGCCCATCACCCGCTGGGTTGTTTTTTTTTTTCCAGTTTGTGCACTCGGACTCAAAAAGGTTCGCCATCACTGGTATAGAGTATATGTCTCTTGATACTCTCTGGTGAGTTCTCATGAGGCCCCAGGGCTTTGCAAGACACTAGTGAGCTATTTAGAAGCTTATCAAAGGCAAGCCAGCTTCTTTGTTTAGCCTCAGTCGCTGTGACTTATCCATCCTTCCTGGGATGTTTATTCATCGCCCTTGGAGAGGAAATTTAAAAATCTCGTTAGGACATGTTTTGACTTTTCTTGTGTGAGTTTATTATTTCTGTGCATATATGAATGCTTGGTTGTTTATTTGGAGTTAATATTCAACCAGTGAGTTGCCTAGGTGATAGCTAGTGGGTGTGAGGGTAAGTAGGGAAAAACCAAAAATGGTGTGAACAACAGAATAATTGGATAAATTTGTTTGCCTCATTCCCAAGGGACAGTATATTTATAATTGAATAGAAGCCATTTTGATCTGCTCAATTCTTCGGTCTTGAAGATCAGAAAACTTCCTTCTTGTGGTATATTTTGAACTCAAGGCAATATCTGAAATCCCACACTGACGCGGACCAACTGGTACCTTTCCCCAGTTTTCCCACAGCTGAAGAGGTAGATGATGAGGCACAGAAGGGAGGGACCGTAGTGCTGAGCAAGCAAAGAAGGGGCCCTCCCTTGTGTATGCAAATTAAGTTAGCAGAGCCCCAGGGCTCCTGTCAGAATTGCTGAGTGGTACAAGGGGAATAGGCGGGCATGGCTCCAGCCAAGTTTTTAATTAGGCCCATGTTCAATCCCCAGTGCTGAATGATTTAGGGGAGTGATGGCTCTTTGAATAGGGGCTGAATTTAATTTCATGCAAATTAAGCTTTAATAAATTGATTTAATGGGAATTAAATCCTGCTGGGTTTTTTTTTTCCCCCAGCAGTAGACAATGACATTCTCTTTCTGGTAAAGAGAGAAACACATTATTAAACCACCAGCATTGTCCTTCTCAATGAGATAAAAGTCCTGCTATTGTGTTTTTGTAGCCCTTCTGCGCAGACAAGGGAATACTTTGGTACCAACCTCTGGCCATGTATCTGATAGCTTTAAGAATTCCAGTTTGCCTCCCTTTGATTCCCATACAATATGGTTTATTTATGCTCTGAGCCTCAAATGGGTGATGATAAGACAAAGTACAGCGGTGCTGAGAAATAGCTATATTAAAAGTTTAGTCAGTTAATTAACCTCATTCGCCACAAGTGATACCCTACTCTGACAAGAAGCACCATTGTGTGTGTACAAAGTAATATACAAAAGGCATTCAAAAACTAAAATATTGTGGAGCAGCAATATTCAAACCAAACTTTGAAAAGTTACTTTTATGTGTTATGATGCCTGAATTTTGGCCATGTTAAGGATTCTGGGAATTATAGTCTGAAAAGCTAACTTTTCAAGCTCAGTCCTAAAACCGTCAGGAGGGGGTTTGGAAGTGATGAGGATCCACCACTTCACTTCTCTCTACCCACGCCCACCCAAAATTGCTCCCTAGATTGTAAAAGGTTTTCCTAGTTAAGGTTGTGCACCAGTGCATTTGAATTATAGCCTTACTAATGTCTGGCAGTGCTAAATGTCCATGTACAACCCATTACAATTTCCATGGCACTTTCCCGTGAACAAAACACTGCGTCATATTTTCATTTCTTTCTCTATACCTTGAAAGAGTCCCATGAATTAAATTCGTATATGAGACAGCGATTTGCCCAAAACTGTCCAGGGAGCTTCATGGCTTGAACTGGGAATTCGAATCCATTGTCCAAAGACTTGTCCCTATCTGACAATCAGCTCTTTTCTGCCAAAGAGAAATTAACTGAAATATTCATTGTATTTCCAGAGTTTGGGAAGATTACTTTCTGGGACTACTGTACAGCTCTCTGAATCTCCCAGCCAGCATGATCAGTAACTGGTGGAGTCTGGGAGTTACTGTCCAAAATAGTAGTTCTATATTGTTCCTTGAATGTGAACACATTTCAGGCTACACAAATCAGGGGTGTGGAACCTTTGGCCTGCCAGTTGTTTTGGACTTCAGTTCCCAGTATTCCACAGCCAGCATACCCAGTGGCTGACTGGGAGATTCAGAGGGATGTGATGTCCCTAAAGAAGCTTTTTTAGTATTTGATTACATTATTGCTTTTGCTTTTTTTTTTTTTAACACTGATTATCATTCTTATTCTCGGATGCTAAGAATGTTTATTTGAAAATGTATCTCTTGTGTCAGTAGAACATACTTCCAAGCATGCTTAGAGCTTTGGAGTGGATGGAGAACCTCCTCCTTGGAAGGGCCCGGCAGCCCTTCTTCTGTCTGTTTTCAGCACTTCCATCCACTCGGTTGGCTTCATCCAGATCCCTCTGTCTGAGCAGTGACGGTGCCTTTCCCGCATGAGATGTTTGATGAGTCGCAGCCAGCAGGATGGCAGCTGGAGCAGCGTTTCCCTTGCAGCATTGGGGAATGTAGCTCATGCTCAGAGCTGATGTGATGGATGAATGTGGATGCCATAGGCAGCAGTGCTGTAGGAATTTCATTACATGGTTGCGGTGGCAGCAGCAGCAGCATGGTCTGAAGGAAGCATAAAAGCAAAATGTCAATTCTGTTAACGTAACTTATTTGTAATTTTTCTTTTTTTTTCATTTTTTTCATTTTTTTTAAGCAATCAAAACGGAAGCCTGCATAGATGCTTGAAATAGGTGCCAGCTCAATGATTTTTTTTTTTTTTTTTGGTGCTCTGAGCGGCTTGCGTTTCGATGAGACGTTTGCTGTGAGCGCTATAGCTTCCCAAATTGTAGAACAAGGTTTGTGAGAAGCTGAATAGAAAGTAAGAAGTCTCGAGGTCTAGAGCATAAAGAGTTCAGGACGTACGTACACTGATGCATGTAGCCAAGGAAGAAGAGGGAGGGAGGGAGGGAAAAACAATGCCTCTCATAAATTCAGTCACTCAGTTCAACCCGTGATTAGAAACAGTACCCAATGTGGCACGATGGGCTAGGACTCAGGAGACCTGGGTTCAAACCCATCTCAGCCATGGAGGCTCACTATAAAGAAAGAAAATAGTACTTATGTTTATGCGGTGGAGAGAAAACCTTGAGGAAACAGTACTGTGCAGGAGAAGAGACAATCAGTCTGTGTTTCAGTCCGCCATCACTGAAAAATTACCCAACTTACCCTCTTGTGATCAAGGTTGCAAAGCTGGAGTGGCACTGTGCTGGACACAATTCCCATCATCCCCGGCAGAATGGCCACACTGGCTAAAGGTGGCAGGTGGTCTGGTGTAGTTCCTCTGGAAAGCACTGTGTTAAAGGAAAGCTGTACTCCTTATAAGAAGGCTACTTTCAGAGGGCCAAGAAGAATCTGGTGTAGCGCTGCTGCTGCTGTGGGCTTGGCAGGAAGAGAGGAGGGAGGAGGATAGAGTGGAGTTTGCTTCTGCTTCAGAGCTAGATGATTACTAGCCACCCTTGGCAAGTAGGAGAACAGAAAATTTTTAAGGCTGCCTTTTCCCCGGCCTTTGGATTGGAATGATTGAACTGACTGGCATTGAACTTCAAAGCAACTCCCAGCTAATCTTGCAAGGGCACTCAAAATGTGCACTTCCTAAACATCATAG